CTAAAAAATAAACCTTGTTGCTTTCACGTTTTCAGTTTCAGTTTGCGCTGTGCGGACAGTGGGGATTTTGGGGAGGGGAGCAGGCTGGCAGCAGCATCTACCTGTTTTTCAGGAGTTTGCTCTGGTCAGGTCTGTCTGCTGTATTTACAACACATCTTGCTTGTCTTCAGCTTCTTGTTCGAACAGCTCTCCCCATGCAGTAGGAGCAGGGAAGCTCTTAGAGCAAACGAGGAGTGACGGGTAGAGAGATGGGAAGCTGAGGGGAAGAAAAGTTTTTGTGGAGTTTGGTAGGTAATGGCTGGGCATGGCGTGGAGTCAGCAGCTGGGAAAAGGTAATTCCCGTGATGTATCGACGAGGGTACTTTCTCTCAGCTTCTGAAAGTCCCTGGTTTTATTTCACCCCAGTGTTCTGAAATTCTAGTCTGATTTGTTCACAGCTACAAACTTTCAAGTGCTTGAGATTTTACGCATGGTGTGGCGTTCTTCCTCCAGGATGAGAGTCTTGGGCAGTGATTCACAGAAGGACTTTTTTGTATGATTCAGATGCTTGGAGGTTGCTTGGTCTGCCTTTTAGCTGGCTTTCAGGGGAAAAATCCTGTAACAAAATTTATATTTTAGGCTGTTTTTGAGTATCTCTGTTACCTGTTGTTCAAATCTTAAGGGCTTTAATCAATGAATCACTGTAAAGATCAGGAAGTTTTGGCAAATGAAAAAGATGTGAGTTGCCTTCTTCCATAAACAAGTTGTTAAGGAAACAGGAATTGGTGGAGGTTTGACTCTTACCCTATCAAAACAGTAAGTATTAGAAATCAATCAATTTTTTAGTCGTTGGGTTTAAGACATTTAAATTAATCTGAGTGTATCTCTAGCATGATCTAATTGCTGAGGTTAAAAGTTGCTGACATGTCCAAAGACTTTTCTGACTTTGCTAATGTAGAAATAATTGAAATTTTTGACCAGACAGGCAGTGGGAACTGGTGATTAAACAGCTGATTTGCAGCAAAATCATTCCAGTGTATGTAACTCTGCTTTTTTTCTTCTTTCCGTAAGTTTTTAAAAATAGAACACAGAAAGAAAATCAATTAATATGGTGTGGTGGGATAATGTGGCTTGTTAGTAATGGAATTAACAATGGTTCTGTGCAGACGTTCCAGATCTCATTAAATAATCCCAGATAACAATAATAATAATAATAACCTAATCCTGAAACTGTTTCTGTGTTACCTTGCAGAGCAGTGGTAGAGGCCGTTCATCGGTTGGATCTCATCCTTAGTAACAAGGCAGCGTATCAAGAAGTGTTCAAGCCGGAGAACATCAGCTTGCGGAACAAGTAGGTTGGGCAGGACACTTATTTTTTAGATTTGGCTGGGGAAACTCCGTGTGAAGCAACACATGGGGGGTTTAAATCTCCAGTTTCACCATGTGTTTGATTTGATCCCAGCTGTTGACATGGGATCCCTCCAGGTTATTGGAGCAGAGGCTGGATTTCAGATCTGTGGCTAACTGTCCCTAGCTGGAGGCTTTCCTGGGTGCTGTTGTAATCCAAATAAGTCATCTTCATGTTGGCCGATGCCTTCCTTGTAATTATCGTTGAAAAACCATGTGGTGAAGAAAATTCCTACGTGTGTGTGTGAAATCTTTTATCAGGTTCAGAGGGTGCCTAGCGGGGATGATTTTTCTTACTAATTTTCTAAGCTGTCAAGACAATTCTTGACATTACTGCAATTTAGGAGGTTACTGATGGCCAGCTGAGCCAAGGTGAGCAGTTAGGTGTACGGCACCAGATGCTCTTGTGTGGGAGTTACACCAGCTGTACCATCACCAGGTGGCCCAGCTCATCCACCGTAATGAATTCAGATTTTCCTTTTTCTGTGCTTATGTAGTGGCAGCTGTATTTGAAGCTGCCGTAGCTAAATGTGGATTCTCTGCTGTCTGTCTCAGGCTGCGGGAGCTGTGTGTAAAGCTGATGTTCTTGCATCCAGTGGATTATGGAAGAAAAGCAGAAGAACTGCTCTGGAGAAAAGTTTACTATGAAGTTATCCAGCTCATTAAAACAAATAAAAAGGCAGGTATCTATGGTTCTGGCGTGAGAAAGTCTCTGGCTGTGCAGTGGGTGAGACCAGGTTTAAAAGCTTAATTTGCTTGGAGAAGTTGTGGTCTGAGCACAGGGCAGGAAGCCAGACACTCCTGGATTTTAATCCTGGAGCTGACACACGCTTCTTGGCTAGTTGTGGGCAGGTAACCCCAGTGACTGCTGAGAGAGCTGTTATTGCAGAGATTTCAACATAAAATTTGCTTCATTTTTATCTTACCATGTTCAAAAGACAGACATCTCCGTGCAGAATGACCTTAAGAGGCTTTTTCAGTGCTGATGGTTTAGTTTACTGGAGTTGATCACTGGAAAATACAAGATTCACACTTGGTGATCTGATTGTTGGAATGTATTTACGTTGTGCTCTAACCAGACAGCCTGATTTTATTTATTTTTTGTTGTGGCAAATATTTCTCCTTCTTGATATTGACCCTTAGCAAACAGCACTAGATACAACACTGTTGAGCAAGAGGAGGTACGGAACTGGGCAAAACCCATCACAGCTGAGCTGCCCACTATCCTGCTTCATACTTGCTATAACTTGGGTGGCTGGCCTAGAATGTTACCCAGACTGCATTGACATATTCTCATTTTCCTTCCCTCCAGCACATTCACAGCCGGAGCACTCTGGAGTGTGCGTACCGGACTCACTTAGTTGCTGGCATAGGATTTTACCAGCACCTTCTCCTCTACATCCAGTCTCACTATCAGCTGGAGCTGCAGTGCTGCATTGACTGGACGCACGTAACAGACCCTCTAATAGGTGAGTGCTCGGTGTGTCGGACTCGTGGGTAAAGCCTGCATCCCAGACGGGTGGCTTCTCCTTGCACTAGTCCCTCTTTGTTTTGGCATTCGAGGGATTATCTTTTTTTTTTTTTTTTTTACTGATTAGCCAGTTATCTGTTTAGAACACACTGTCTGTTCGCTCTTTTCCATGCCACTGTTTTGTTGGTTTTTTAAAATACTAAACCAGGGAAGAAAGAAGGGTTTCTAACAGGAAGAAAATGCTGTTAGAAAATTCTTTAGTGTTTGGTGATGGCAGATTTTTCTGGAAAATTGAAGAGCACTTGTGGCTGTACTGAAGGTTTTTAAAAGCTTAATTAAAGCAGACAGTCAGACCATTGGGAGAATAGGTTCTTGAAATCAACAGATTTTTGTCAGGACATCCTATTCACTAGATGTGAGATATTGTTCCTTCACTTGGTGCCCCTTCTATATATATTCCCTTCACATACTTCGCAGTTGTACTGCGTATAGCTTTGAAACTGCTGTTGAATCGTGGACTGAGAACGTGAGGAAGCTCCTGTAACGCTGTTAGGTGTGTTAGCTGTCCTGGTTAGCCACCTCTGTGCTCTCCTTCAGATGCAGGGTACCTGAGGTATCTTACCTGTTAGGGGAGGAAGAATAAGAGTGTTTGCAGTCTTGAGACGGCTCAACGCTGGGTATGCGTTCACATCCTTGATAAACTTGTTCACATTTACTCCTGAGTTGTGCTCAGAGGCCTCCAGGCACGTGTTTCTGTTCGGGTGGGTCCAGATGAGAAACGGAGCCTCTGTCTGTTTTGTGAACTCTATTAGCAAGGGTTTAATTGATATTCTTAAAGGGGGTGGGGGGGGAGGATGGCAGAAACCAGCTTAAGAGAAGTTAGTATGTCTTCAGCAATAGAACATTTTGGTTGCTGGTATCCTATTGTTAGTTCTGGGAGATGATTGTATCGTGATCAGCTTTGAAATGTCGGTGGAAAAGGCAGATGTCCCTGGCAACTGTTGCTTTGAGAAGCGTATCTCAGTACTGCAGAATTAGTAAATTCTCAAAATGAACATTCCAGATGGATTTGTACCCCGTGGTGCATGATTGTGTTTGACAGGCTCCCCTTATTTGCGTTTCTTAGTGTGTTTAGGCTCTTTAATTAAGAGGATGCAGCAAATGAGTATGTACCTGGATAACAGAGACATAACCTTGCATATCCAGAGAAGATGGATGTGTAAGAATCCCGTATGGACCACAAATCAGGGTGGACACATCTTGATGGTTATATAAATGGCAGCAAGAGGATTCAAGGCAAAAAAGAAAGAGAGGATAGATCCGATAGCGTACGAGGCCACAGCTTTGAAGGCTGTGTGTTTGTACGATGCGGCTCATACAGTGGCTGTAAGTAGGAACCGTTCCTCACTGCTCCAGATTTCACTTCCACCCTTGTAAACTGAGCCAAGAGGGAAGCAACTCGGACTGCAGACTGGACTGGTCCTATAAGTCTTCCTACAGGATTCCTGCTTGGGGGAATTTTCTCCTCCAGAAGGTGGGAGCCCTTGGCAACAGGAAGACTGAACCTAAACTGGAACCATGCTGCTGGTCTGCTCGGTGGCAGGAAATGCTCTCTGGAGAGGAAAGGTGAACGCGGTTGCCTGTGCCTCCTGATCTCTGGCTGAACCACGGCCCCGCTGGCTGGGGAGAAGGTGCTAACGGGGAGAAGGGAAGCACGGTCTGGCCAGTGTCATCGCCTCCCAGGAACTGAGTCATGTTTGGTGGTTTAAGTTTGTTCAGATCAACTGGCTGGAGCCTTCCCCTGTTACTTTTGACACTTTCCGCTGCCTGAACTGCTTTTTTTTCCTCCGGAGGCCGTTCTTTCTAACTAACTGCAGCTACCCTGTCTACAAAACAGATTTGCTGCCTTGATTTTTCCTTGTTTTACTTTTTTTCCTCCCTTTTTGCTTGGCCAGTCCTAAATCTAGATCCCAGTCTCGAGACAATGAGGTTGTTCCCATCTTCCAAGTCAGGGAGGGTGCGAGCACATCGTACGCTACTGCCAGGTGCAAGCGTGCTCAGACTTTGTTCTGGCTTCCAGGGACTTGCGCCAGCTCCTATCTGAAGGCCTCATTAGCCACGCTAACAAAATCAGCCTTTCAGCAGGCCTTGTTAGCTTGTTCTCAGTGCTGGGTTAACATCGTCACACGGCTCGTAGGCAGGACTTGGCCTTTGTCCTCTTGTCTGAGTGCAGAGCGAGCCAGCTCTCTGTGGCATCCACCTTGTAGACAAAGTCTGAGTGACAGTCATTTCCGTGGCTGGTGGTGATGCGGTGACATGCACTGCCCCTCGTCAGCAGGGAATTGAAGGCGGAGTGGGTGAGCGTCGGTGTCTTCATATATTTTATACATTTATCCTCCGCACTTTGACAAGGGTGAACCAGGGCTGGTCTACGAGATGCCACAGATGGCAACCAAGAGTGGGATCTCCCCGTGTGGTCTTTTGTTTTCACCTAGTGAGATGTTGGGTGTCTCGGGCAGAGGCATAAGCTGCTCCTGTGTCTTTCCAGCAGCCTTTTTACCCAGCGGTGTATGTCATTTCATATTTCTCGTGTAGGCTGCAAGAAACCTGTGTCTGCATCGGAGAAGGAGATGGAGTGGGCACAGATGGCATGTCACAGATGCCTGGTTTATCTGGGAGATCTAGGTAAGGAGACCATTGGTTTTCAGGGCAACTTTTAATACATTAAAAAGATTCTGCCCGTACAGTGCCGAGTTCATCGTTGTTAGTCTCCAGCCATAGTTACTCGCAGACACTGGTTTCCCTCCGACACCTTTGGCTGCGACTGCTATAAGATGAAATCACTGAGGATAACTGAACTGCTACAAATCACAGAAGCTTTGGTTTTGGGCAAGGAGATGAGGAGTTTGCTATTGACACACAGCTGTATCCTTGTCTGTGTAAGAACGGAAGCCTTTGCTTTTATTTGTGTTGTTTGGACAGTGTGAGGGAAACTCAAAAGTGGGATGACTTCTCAGCTCAGACTTGCTTTAAGGTTGCCTTACACAGCTGCTGTCATCCAAACAACAGTGATTGAAAATCAGATTTGTTAAGCAATATCTGGAATCAATCTGGAGTGGTAGGCCACTGCAGAGCCCCAGCTTCTTTGTCATTGTCTCTGGCTGTGTGTCATCCTTTTTGTAGCAGACGTGTCTATCCCACAGTCACGACCTCCTGAAGAGCGTGGTAAGTGTGTCAGCTTCTTGCTTGATTGTGAACACGTGGGAGTGAAGGCAGTGGGAAAACATGTAATTGTGTGAAAAACAGCTATTTGAAAAGGAGCGCAGGTAAATGTGCTTGACACGCAGCAACCTTCAAGCTCTTGAAAGCTGTTTGGCATTATTGTAGCACACGAATCAGCCTAAAAATGGAATTGCAAATAAATGCCTTACAGGAGTAGTAAGAATGACTTAACGTGACTGGTGGGAGAGAAGCGTGCTCACCTCTTCACAGTGCTTTCATCTAAGGCTTCCAAAATGCCTGCTATTGTTAACAAAAAAAAAAAAAAAGGGGGGGGGGGGGGGAAAACAGGCTAGCCACAGCCAGGTATTTTTATTAGGTCAGCTGAGCTGCTTTGGATTTCACACTCTGCTGTAGTAGCATATAGTCTGAGGTACTGGAAAATGGAGCACAACTCTGAGTTATTTCAAGGATAATTGAATAGGCACTTAATGCATAGAGCAGATTAATTTCTTCCTTTTGCTTATGTGCTGCTACAAGCACTGAGGCATATCCCCTTTGCTTGAAGTGGCAGGGATTGTGATGTACAGAATAGTGCAGTTAAAATAAAAGTGCTTCAGACAGGCCTGGTGAACCCTGAACGTCTGTCGTGGTTTGACCTGGCTGGCCCAAACACCACGCAGCCGCTTGCTCACCCTCCCCACTCCCAGGGATGGGGGAGAGAACGAAAGGGGTAAAGGGAAAAGAGACTCATGTGTTGAGATAAGAACAATGTAATAACCAAACTGCAATAAAATTTAAAATAATAATAATAAAAATAGTAATATGTACAAGTATACAAATGAGTGAAGCACAGTGCAGCTGCTCATTACCCAATGACTGAGGCTTAGCCCATTCCTGGCTAATGATCCCGGAGCAGGGAGAGTCCTGAAACCACAATTCCGGAAAAGAGATAAAAGTCCAAGAGCCAACTGAGAGAGAGATGACCCAGAGACAGGACTTCCGAACAGAGCCTCACCTATATCCTGGGCATGGTATGGAACAGACCATTGGCCAATTTGGATCTCAATCCTGAACCGACGTTCGAATCCTAAGCCAGTAGTTGTGAGCTGTGCTTCCTCTCCTACACCTGCAGGACATGAGAAGCTAAAAAGTCCTTGACTGTCCTGACAACAGCTATAACCATCAATAAGTTATCAGACTTCTTCTCAGCACGAATCCCAAACACAGCCTCACACAAGCCACTATGAAGGAAGCTAACTCTGTCCCAGCTGAAACCACGACATCTCTGTGTTTCACCAAGAGCTGTTCTTTGATGGTTTTTTTGACTTGGCCAGTATTTCTGGTTTTGTGGTGTTTTTAATCTTTAGGGAAATGGTGCTTCTCTGCAGAAGGGAAGAGAGGACGGTGCCTTCTGGTTTCTGATGTTCAGTGTGTGGTTTTCTTTCAGCTCGCTATCAGAACGAACTGGCAGGTGTGGACACAGAGCTGCTGGCTGAGCGGTTTTACTATCAAGCTCTTTCTGTTGCACCACAAATTGGTGAGTGAGTTACCGTGAATTTGTAGTCATTAAAATCATGTTGCCACAACCTAAAAACAATTGTGATACTGCTGCGTTCAGGTTTATATCCTGCTGCTGAGAGAGGAGTGGTTTTATTCTCTGATTAAAATTACTTCCGTCTTTGAGACTCTCTCTCACTGGCAAGCCAAAGAGAGGAGTTAACACAAAGGTGCTCTTTGACAATGACCTTGACGTACTTGTCTGATAACCTCTGGGACGCTCAGACTTCCGTGGGTGTGGTAAAGTTGTGCTTGTCTGGCTAAGGGAAGGTCCGGCTGCCCGTTGCCAGAAGCAGAGCATTATTGGTCATCTCCCTATTTTCACCCCTGCAAAAATATCTCGCATGCTGCTTTCTCCTTCAGAAGTGACTACCTTAGGAGAACGCATCGTGGCAGGAGTTGAGAGCCTGGCTTACCTTAGCGTGCAGTTCCAGAAGAATGTTTTCTCTGTGCTGTCTTTGCAGAGTTCTTACCGAGTTGTTTGACTGGCTGATCCTAAATACCAATAAGTGACAAACATTTACGTACCGCAGTGAGCTGGAACAGAACTCTTACATGATGGTGTCTGTGTCCAGAGGAATACAGCGTAACAGAGTCAAGGCCATGGCATTGTTAATACAGAGGAGGAGGCATTGTTTGCTCTGCTTTCTTACGTAGATAACTGTCGGGAATGTGGGGAGGATCGGAAGGCACTATAAAACAGAAAAAAAAAAAAACCAAACCCTAGGTGGCGAAAGGATCGAGTAGTCCAGACCTTTGTACTGCAGCTTTACTATTGTTTGCATCTCCTGGCTTCCCTCCCACGTGGAAATGTGTGGGAAGGAAAGGATCTGCTTTCTAGCAGGGCCATTGGAGAATTGGAAGTTAATTCCATTGCCCCTCTCTCTCATGACAGGCATGCCCTTTAACCAGCTGGGGACATTGGCAGGAAGTAAATACTACAATGTGGAAGCTACCTATTGCTACTTACGCTGGTGAGTGTCTGAGGACAGAGAATCCGTGCGCTGTGGTTGCTGGTGCCAGATTATTTTCTCCTTGACTTTGGACTTGGACCTGTTTTGAGGGGAGTGGGGGGAGAGAGATGGGTTTATTTCACCCTTGAGCAGGACTGATAGTAAGAGTGAGGCTTGGTCACACCAAGCCATCATACTGGTCACTAAAATACATGCGGGGAGCTGCGCTTGGGGGGTTTCATCGAGACCCTCTGCCTGTGCTGGAGGGCCAGGCGTGAACAGGAGTGGATGTGCTGAGTGAAGCACCCCGCACGGTGAGGTGGGTGGAATTCAGTTATCTGAACATGGCCTTAAGGCACAAATTTGAAAAAAAAGTGCATAAATGTCGCAGCTGGAGCTGTGGTACAGCTTGGAGTGGGGTTTGCAGACATCAGTGGGAGCTGAGTAACCCAGGATGTTCAAACAAAAGCACTAGGTACCTGTCTTCATGCTTAGATACCCAAATACCTTTTTAGTGAATTAAAGCCATAAAGTGTGAGCGACCTTGTGGGAAAGTGACTTTTGATGTGCTCTGTTCTGGTATCTCAGTATCCAGTCTGAAGTGTCCTTTGAAGGTGCCTATGGGAACCTGAAGCGGCTTTACGACAAAGCAGCCAAAATGTATCACCAATTGAAGAAATGTGAAACCAGAAGGTTGTCTCCAAGCAAGAAGCGGTAAGAGGGAGGAGAAAAGGAGAGGGTTGCAGGCAGAGGCTTTGACATTAGTGTCGTTCTCTGGGTTGTGAGTCGGGTCTTTCTGAGAAGTCTAGCCCATCTCTGTGGCGGGGTACCTGCCTTACAGTGTTTTCTTCTCTATCTTTTTAGAGGCAAAGACATTAAGAGGTTGCTGGTGAGCTTTATGTACCTGCAGAGTCTCTTGCAGCCAAAGAGCAGGTAAGGTTACGGCAGATTGTATCTTTTGTTGGTAACTCACAGCAGCAGGCATTCAGAATTGGAAGAGACTGTTCCCTGTAGGATAACAGTGCCTGTGCTGAGGCTTTCTGCCAAAAGGTCCAAGATTTTACTCTTCTAACCTTGCAGGGAGAGTGAAAAAGATTGTCTTCCAAGGGAGGCTGAAATACCAAAGGCTTAAATACTTTGTGACTCTGGCTAAATCAAGCCGGTAGCTGGGTGAATGTTGAACTCTTGAGCCTCGCAGCTCATCTCTGTGCTGTACTATGCCTTTGGTGTTTTCTTGCCTTGTGTCTTTTTGTTTGGTTGGTGTTTTTTTACTGGGGACCTCAAGACAGGATGCATTCAGTACTCCAGTGCCAAATAAAGAGGAATAATAATTTTCCTCAGCCTGCTGGCTGTGCTCTTGCTTATGCAGCCCAGTATGGGGTTAGCTTTCAATACTGACTTACACCAGAGTGGAACTTCAAGGCTCATTTAATATCCACTTAACGCATAGTTAGCGCATAGGAAAATCTGAAATTACTTCAATTTCCCAAGCATGTTGTCTCCTGAAAAGAGTTTGCTAGATATTTTGGGGACAGGGTTATTTTGTAACTAGGAGACTTCCATGGCCCCTTGTACTCCATGCCATGGGTGCTTCCTTTGAACCAGCCAACAGCTACAGAAGATTTTGGAATATTCTTACGGGGCTGCAAGTTAGAGCCGTGGGAGGAGGAAAGGTTGAGTCCACAGTTTGTGCACTGCAATGTGATTCTTTAACTGAGCAGTGGATTAGAAAGTATTGCTGCCTTTAGTGTTGAAGTGTAAGTGTATCTTAACGGCCACTGCTTGAGCTCCCAGGAAAAGCGTCATATATTTTTTGGTGACCCATCTCTTTGCAGGGAGGTGCTCTAGTTATCGTTTCTCTTTAGTTTAGCAGCTTTGGAGCAGAAGACATAATCTGATTCACCTCACTTGCTTTCCAGAGCTCTGCAGTATATTCCCTGGTGCTATCCTGTCTAGTGCTAAAGGATAGCCCAGCTTCCAGTTTTGGTTCAGTTTTCATGCAGACATTTCCAGGAGCTTGAGCCTTGAATAATAATTCTTGATTATTTTTTCCTTTTGTTAAGCTCTCTGGATTCTGAGCTGACGTCTCTCTGCCAGTCTGTGCTGGAGGATTTCAACCTGTGCTTGTTCTACCTGCCTTCTCCTCCTAATCTGAGCTCAACTAGTGAAGACGAAGAAGAGTATGAGAGTGGCTACTCCTTCCTTCCTGATCTCCTGATCTTTCGCATGGTGATCATCTGCCTTATGAGCGTTCACAGCCTCAAGAGGGCAGGTAACCAGTGCTTTGTTCAGCTCTTCAGAAATGTAATAACATTCAGCAGTCCAGCTAGGCTGAAGATGTTGTCTGAATTGGCATTCACATTTCGGACTAGCGATCAGTCTTCTCCACCTCATTATGCTGTCTTGTTGCAGGTTCAAAGCAGTACAGCGCAGCCATCGCTTTCACGCTGGCCCTGTTCTCTCATCTGATAAATCACGTCAATATTCGCCTGCAGGCAGAGCTGGAAGAAGGGGAAAATCCAGTCCCAGCCTTTCAGAGTGATGGCACAGGTGAGAGGACAGAGCCAGTATAAGCTGGGTCTCCCCGGTTGCCTGCCTGTAGGGCTGGCTTTTACTTTTCCTTCCTAAATCTCCTGGGCACGGGTTTTGTAGTGTAGTGCCTGAGTGGTGTTACGAGACATCTTGATCTTTGGCTGCTGGGCTGAAAACCCCAAAGATGGGTAATTTGCTGAGACAGATTCTCTGTGAGTATCAGAATCATCCCAGGCTGAAAATGTTGCTTTTCTTGTTGTAAGGAGTTACCTTTCTGTATCTCTTGGCAGCTCATTTATCGCCTGTTCACCCCAGTCTGTGCTCCTTAGTTTCTCTCTGTTTGTTGTTATTTACTGGGCTCTTTTCTCCTCCACCGAGGAGATGATCTCAGGTGAAACACGTGGACAGAGCAGTGTCTACGGGAGGCAGGCTCTGCTCAGCACCTCTCATCTCTGTTCAGACTGAAACAGATCTTTAGTTTCAGGGGGATCCTGTTGAGCAGAGAATAAAGCTGCTGAATCTTTCCCCTGCACACAGTGAATTTGTAATATTTCACAGAACACAAGGCTGGAGTTTTCCTGGTCAAAAGCAACAGCGAATGACTCCTCCCCTGCATGGGTTTTGGAGCTGTTGGGGTGACATAGGGCTGCTGGAAAGGCTGTGAGCATGTTGGTCAAGGAAGGGATTAGGTCAGCTCAGGTTAGTTAGAGGGAGGAGTGGCTGGTTTGATCATGCTGACTGGCTCTCAGACCGTAGAAAGCTGGGGAAAAGATTGAAGATTCAACTGTGTGTTTTCTACTGGTCTGAAGCTGCCTGATA